TTTTTCTTTTCCTATTTGTTATTTATTTTTATACAAATTTGTTAGTCTGCTCCTCCTACGGAAAAAATGAAGCCACAGCCAGCTGTTGTTCTTGTTGTTGTTGTTTATGTTCAAATTAACTTGGCCCACAAAAATGTTGTAGAAAGGCACAGCCGACGAGGCCAGGCCGGGCCAGGCCAGGCCGGGCCGGGCCGAGCCACAATGACAGTGCAGGTAGCAAAAGGTATTGAGGGAGAGGCCCATCCGCCGGATAGCCTCGTCGCAGGCGCAGGAAGCCAGAGTGCGAGTGGATGCAGGGGAGTGGGGTGGGGAGTCGGTGCTCGGTTGAATTGGGGCTAAAGGTTGCCCCGTTGTCGTTTCCTGACTGAGCTCGTCCCGGACACAAAGCGACAAAGAAATGTTTCGCATGCTGCACAATGGCAAATAATTCATAACTTGGTTCAAAACTTTGATTTAGCTGCAGTTAATACACAGTCTATCTCACCAACCCAGCCCCTCCCCCTCCCACTCTCCGCCTTCCCGCTCGCTGACTCAATAAGAAGCGAGTGCGTGTGTGTGTGTGTGTGTGTTGGCAACTGTTGGCCATACGTTGGCCTGCATAAATTTTGCTGGCAGTTGGCCCTACCCTACCCCACCCTGCCCTGCCCCGCCCTGCCGACTCCTGCTCAGCCCGGAGTCCTGCTGACAGTCGCAGCCACACATTTTGCTAGCAGATAAATTACGCTTGAAGCATCAGGCGTATGGAAGCGGAAGAGCCAACAGCTCGGACCGAAGATGAGGCGGAGAGCAGAAGATGAGAAGCGAGAGACGAGCAGAGAGAGGGACGAGGGGGTCGAGACTGGGGCAACAGTGCATAAAGTACAGCATCCTAAGGTCTATAGACTGCAGACTGGACCACGCGCTGACGACTGTCAAGCGGGTCTCTCTGTATGCATATTTTTCTTTAACTGTAAACGCAGAAAGCATACACACCAGCACACACACACACACACACATACACATACAGCAGCCTGCCAGGCGACACAAGTGACAAAGTGATTTTGGCCACAATTGAAGAGTTTTATGGGCTGCATTTGAATGCCAAAAAGCACAATAATTAAAACTATCGATAATAAACTAGAATATTGTCGATATTTATCAGCCAATATTTTTTCAATCACTATCCTGTAGTAATTTCTTAATTTTAAATTAAAAATTAGATGGTAAAGCATGATAGCTAAAATTATCGATAGTTAATATGAATGTTATCGATATTTAACTGTTTAGCAGAGCGACAGCACTTTTTTTTATCATTTTTATCTTCTTTATCTGGCTAAGATTTCTTAAGATTTGCAACATGAGGTTTACCACAATATTAAATATTTATTTTTTATTTTTTTTACAAATATTTTGTATAGCCGGCTCCAGGTTTTAATATGCCTGTAAGGCCAAGGAATAACCGTAAAAGAATATTCCGAAAATTTACCAAATTTGTAGGCTTATCTCGTATTATCCTCACAGAGTCTGAAGCATCAACTTTTGTCGCCTGCTGAGCTGCCAAAAGATGTCAGTTTACATTTGCTCTACTCTCCACTTCCTCGTATCTCTCTCCCTCTCTCTCTCTCTCTCTCGCCCTCTCTCGCCCTCTCTCTCCCTCTCTCTTTCTTTCTGTCTGTCTTTTGGCTGCCTTTGAACATATCTGCGCTCAGTTCTTGGCAATAAATTTTTAACAAACATTTAACTTGCATTTTATTAGTCCCCAGTCAGCGGAGCAGAAGAGTTACTAGCTGTCGGACAGAGCGAGAGAGAAAGAGAGAGAGAGAGAGAGGGCCGCTATTGCCGTCTCTATCTGCTCGGTCTGTCTCGCTGTCTGTCTGCCCGTCTTTCGGTTTCCCTTTGGTACGAAGTCATCATAATGACAATTTCTTGACTGTTTTCTCTGTTTTTTTTTTTTTTTTTTGGGTCGCATTAGCCGTGTTCCACTTTCGTCTTGGTTTCATTTCACTCTGTTTCGCTGAAGCTGGAACGGGAACGGGAACTGGAACTGGTGCAGTTGCCCAGTGGCCGTCGATTCGGCCAGACAGTTGTAGATTTTTCTTTACTCTCGGTTTGATTTGAGTTCTTGATTCGTTCCGTTGGCAAATTCTAATGAGGAATTATTGAAAAATGAAAATCGAAATCAAATCAAATAAAATGTACTAAAAAACAAATTCCCAAACACGCATTTTCAGTTAAACAAATGTGTGAGCAGCAATCAATCAAAAACTTGTAAAGACCAACAACAATAAAAACAAAACAAAAATACAACAAAGTATACCACAAACAAACCGAAAAAAATACCGCAAAACTAGTGTAATATAAAAATACCAACAATGAGAAAAAGCTAATAAAAAAGAACGAAAAATAATACGAATAAAAAAAAAAGAAATCAGCAAAGCAACAGTAAAAAACAACAACCAATAATCGATAACAGTTAATCGCAACTTGTGAACGGCTAGTCGATAACTTATCGATAGCAATCGGCATAGACAGACAGACCCACACACGTACACACGTACACACACAGACGCAGACCAGAGATGGACTCGCTGGAGCGTCTAATGCGCGCCGCCCCACTGCCCCGCATGCTGACCAGCGGGGTGGTGGCAACGGCCGCCGCTGCCGCTGCCAGCGCCGCTGCTGGCGTCAAGGGCGTCGTCGGCATCGCCGGCCAGCAGCAGCAGCAGCAGCGCGCCCTGGTCCATGCCTCGCTGGCCGCAGCCACAGTGGGACGCAAGGGACGCCATCTGACCGGGACATTTTGCCTGACCGGCGATACCATGGAGGGCATCATACAGTGTTTGGTATTTCTCAAAGCATTCTCGGTAAGTGGAAAGCAGAGAAGCAGCGAGGGAGTGAAAGAAAGAAGGAAAAAAAAGAGATAGAGAGAGATAGGGAGACAGAGAGACAGAAAGAGAAAGAGAGAGAGAGAGATGGTGTGAGTCTGGGCTTCAATCTTAATCTGTGTCTCATATTTCGTCCTGCAGAAAATTCAATTTAGTTTTTGGTTTGCGCTTGACTAAGTTTTTTTTACTACCCTCACACGCACACACACATATCACATCACAGCCGCAGCCCCTGCAACCCCATTCCACCTTAACGAGCCATCAAAATGTGCAATAGGCTGTAAATAGGCAAATACATTTCACACACACAGAGCGAGAGAGAGAGAGAGAGAGAGAGAGCGAGTGTGTCTGTCCGTGTGTGTGTGTTTGTGTGTGTGTGGAGCTGATTTTGGGATTTTGGCTTGTGAGCTCACTTTGATATGAATTTTATAACTACATTTACGGTGACAGCATAAGCGAGAAAGGTAGCAGATAGAGAGCGAGGGAGAGAGAGAGTGAGTGGGGGAGAGGGCGGTGACGGGCAGTCCTTGTTCCCATTATGAATCGCCCGTATTATACTGACCAGACCATGTGCCATAAGCCGATATTCATATAATATAATTTAACTTGTCTGCATATTTTCTAACACATTTTCTTCTCTCTTTTCGCTCTTTTCGGTATCTTTGCAGGTGAGTTGAGTCCAGTGACGCCCACTTAATGCACGCCCCTTACAGCAACACCTGCTGCTGGCTTTTTGTGAGTACAGCATTCAAGTTAATTAAAAGCAAATGCTTAACTTGGCCAAAGTACACACACAAACACACACACACACACACATACAGCAGAGATTTGGCCACAGAATTTCAATTCGAGATTTTTGCTTGATGCAAGTGTGTTTGAGTCTGTGTGTGTGTGTGTGTGTGTGTGTGTGTGTGTGTGTGTGTGTGTGTGTGTGTGTGTGTGTGTGTGTGTGTGTGTGTGTGTGAGTGTCAGCTCTGCACTGTTGACATTATGCAAATTCTCTGGAATGTTTCCAACATAATTGGCTTTGTCCTGTAAACAGGACTTGAAAATTAAAGCCAGAGAACAGATACGAAAAGCTTAAACCTAAAAATATAAAACAAATACCA